ACAATCAAAATTTAGAGCACATTGCACAGAAGTAAAATAGCAGTACTAACTGGAAATCTGATAAAGTGACAGGGACTTCATTTTTTCCCCTCGTATTTTTCAGTATTTTCCGACGAGTCCACTGTGGACACAGACTCTCACAACTAGAAAAGAAACTCCTTTAAACTCCCTGCTTCTTAACACGATGCCATTTTCTGTATTCCAGAGTTTGTGATGTGGGTGTCGCCTACTCTTTCACCATTTCTTCTATCCTCTACAAACAGCCAGCTTTGGAAACGTCACGTTCTGCTTTGGTGGTTGGCCAGGATCAAATTAAACTACTCCTGAATTTCACAAGTCTAATATTTCATAGGAGAGATTTCAACTCACACAACACATTCTAACACACTTGTGCTTGATGAAGCATTTGCTTATGTGAATAATTAACTTGAAGACTGTGTGGAGGCAAATGGACAGTTTCTTAGGCAGTCACAAGTCTTTCCTCCTTTTTGGAACCCAGGAATGAACAGGAGAGATAAAGAGAGGGTGTGGCAGGTGACCATACGTGCTCTCCCAAGAGCCGCTCTTTGCCTTTTAACCCAGCATAGTCATGCATGCAAGGTTGAGACAAGAATAAGCAAGAACAGGAATCCAGTGGACCAGCTCACACCTCACGTTCAACGAGAAGAAAAATTTTGCATCTATCACATCATGTGCTACAAATATCTAGAGTTCTATCTTGAACCCTAGTATAGGATACAGAGAAATACTGGTGCTTGGGTGGGTTTGAACAGCTTCGACTCCAATGGTTTAGCCAACTTTATCACTTTGCTGTTCTCTATTTTAAAAATCTACCTTCGTGAATACCTTTCTATAGCATTTCTGGCAGCTGTCACTTTGCTGGTCTTTTGACTTTGCTGGTTAACTTGAATGGTATCTTTAAAAAGGGATAGATAGCAGGGCCTCCCCGGTGGCGCAGCGGTTGAGCGCTGGGTTGCGAAGCTGCCCACAGCCTCTGTGGCGCCAGTTCGATCCCCGGCCGCCGGACGAGGGTCCCACATGGCGCACGGACCTCTCCTGCCGCCCGCTGCTCCCCTCAGCAGTGTATTTCCTTGGTCTGCCTGTTGCATTCCCCGCTTTGTCTCTGGTGAATTCTCTCACCCTCCTGCGCTTCTGACTGCACCCACAGTGCTTGTATAAATAAATAAATAAATAAATAAATAAATAAATAAATCTTTAAAAAAAATAAAATAAAATTGAGAGCAAAAGAAAAAAATGTAGATCAAATGTAGCCTCTCTCTGGCTAATTCAGATCTGCTTCAGTCACAGCTCAATGCAATACAGTTACCACCCCCAGGCCTGGGTGTTCAGATTCTCTTATTTTGGAGTTAGACCCAGCTGGGGTTTGAAACCGGCTCCAGACGTTCAGTAGCATTACCAGATGGTGGGATGCTCTAGGAAGTAGTTCTACTGTGGGCTTTCTATTCCCTAGCAGGGTCTTTGAGCAGAGTGCACTTCCACCTTCTCGTTCCTTAGCTAACCAGGCTCTTCCTATCTCTAGGGGGGAGAGAGAGAGAGAGAGAGACAAAGAGAGAGAGAGAGAGAGAAACACTCATATTTCCCATATTCTTGTTCTTCTCAGTCATCAAAATTTCTCTCCCTCCCCAAGTGCTGTTTTCCTGTTTTTAGCTTAGCTTTATTTTGTTGTAAGAAACTTCTTCTTCAGACTTATATAGTGACCTTAATTTCAAAAACAATGAAATCTTTACCAAGCATTCCTAACAGGAGCATGACGTGAGTTTGAGTTGGAAATACCCTGCCCTAACCAGAACTATAGCTTTTTTTTTTAAGATTTATTTATGCATACGAGCTGGGGTACAGGCCAGAGGTGCCGAGGGAGAGAAGATTCACCAGAGACAGGGTGGGGAGCAGAACAGGCAGACTGACTGAAATACACTGCTGAGGGGAGCAGCAGGCGAGTCAGGAGAAGTCTGCTGCACCATGTGGGAATCTCCCTGGCCAGCCAGGGATGGAACTTGTGCCCCACAGGCTGCAGATTTCTTCACAGTGCAATGCTTAACCCCTTGCGCCACCAGGGAGGCCCTATAGCTTATTTTTAAAGTGGTTGCTTCACAAAATGAATATTTGGTTTTTGGTTTTTGCTTGGAGAGTGGGTGTGTTCTTGGCCAACCATATATCTTCCTTTCTGTTCGTTTCCATGCTTAGCCCCCACTGATTTTGTCAGCACCAAATTCACTTTTGCTTTACTCAGCCACCTTTTGGTTAGAGCTGGCTTTGATTTCGCCAGTTTAGACACTCATAAAAATATTAACCAATACAGCTGGCCTGCATCTTGCCCCTCATCTCTTGTTTTCCCTCTTTAAAAATTCCTAACAATGAAGTATAGATTAGATGATGATCCAAGTACAGATAAATTTCTCAGGTCAGTAAACTGGAATTAAGGGAATGAGGAACAGAACTGAAACAAGACAGGATTATTTCAGCAGCACCATTAAAAGTATATTCATGGGGCCTCCCTGGTGGTGCAAAGGGTTAAGACGCAACCTATGAAGCTATCCGCAGCCACTGCAGCATGAGTTCGATCCCCGGCCAGGGAAAATCCCACATGGCACAGCAGACCTCTCCTGTCTCCCTGCTGCTCCCCTCAGCAGTGTATTTCCCTCAATCTGCCTGTTCTGCTCCCCACTCTGTCTCTGGTGAATCCTCTCACCCCCCACACCTCTGGCCTGTACCCCAGTTCTTGTATGCATAAATAAATAAATCTTTAAAAAAAGTGTATTCATAAGACAAAGAAAGGTGTGAGCACACACATGTTGGGCTGCTCACTAGTTTGACTACACGTCTATCATTCCTTAGCTAACCAGGCTCTTCCTATCCTTAGGGGAGAGAGAGAGAGAGAGAGAGAGAGAGAGAGAGAGAGAGAGAGAGAGAGTCATATTTTCCATATTCTTTTTCTTCTCAGTCTTCAAAATTTCTCTCCCTCCCCAAGTGCTGTTTTCCTGTTTTTAGTTTAGCTTTATTTTGTTGTAAGAAACCTCTTCTTTGGACTTATATAGTGACCTTAATAGTTGGTTGGCCTTTTGCTCTGATAACCATTTTACTTAAAGGCCACTCAGACAGAGATGCTTGGGACTCGGGATCAGTGGCAGGAACATTAGAAGTCATTGGCCAGCAGTGAGAGCCGACATTATTGATGTCCTTCCATGTACAGGGAGATTTGAATGCATTTCTAATGGGAAAAAGAGTGCATATCTGCCTCCCTGTTACTCTGAGAACACCGAGTGTCAGCGAGAGGAGGGACATTTCAAGGCTGAAACCCACAGCTACCTTTTCCTACAAAGAAATCATAGAGGTGAGCTAAATAATGTACTGGCAAAGAACAGGTAGTAAGCGAGTCAAGAATTGCAGACCTTTAATTGTTAATAGCAACTATTAAGGTGATACCACCTGTTTGTGAGATGGGTCGCTTGCCTTCGGAGGGGCCTGACATCTCGCTGCCTTAGAAAAGGGACTGGCATTGCAGCAGGGGCTCAATTAATGTTTAATGAGTGAATGAGGTAAGACATGGGATAGAAGGGGCAGCCTGAGAGAGGACCCAAGTGCCCCATAAGGTGTTTTGACTCAGCACAAGCAATAGAAGCCTCTGGAGAAGATTCACAGAGGGGCCTCCCTGGTGGCCCAAGAGGTTAAGACACAACCCATGAAGCTGTCTGCAGCCACTGTACCAGGGAGGTACCCACATGGCGCAGCAGACCTCTCCAGACCCGCCCGCTGCTCCCCTCAGCAGTGTCATTTGGTTCTGCTCCCTACTCTGTCTCTGGTGAATCCTCTCACCCCCCCACCTCTGGCCTGTACCCCAGTTCTTGTATGCATAAATAAATCTTTAAAAAAAGATGTGGTCCATATACACCATGGAATATTACTCAGCAATCAAAAAAGATGAACTCATGCCATTTGCAGCAACATGGATGGCGCTGGAAGGGATCATGCTCAGCGAAAGAAGCCAGAAAGAAAAAGAAAAATACCGGATGGTCTCACTCATAGCAGGAATTTAGAAAACCTAAATAAGAGACCAGGAAAAAGACTAATTATAATAAAGTAAAAATCAAAATCAACAAGCAACTATAAACCAGAGACACACTGGGGGGTGGGGAGGAGAGGAGGGATTAGGGCCAAAATAAGGGGGGGTGGGAATTCTATGGGGACCATAACCAAGATGAAAATGCACCCATTGTGCAGAAATGAAAAATGATGCAAAAAAATATATAAAATAAAAAAAATTAAAAAACAAATCACATAGAAGCACTAGCTGCAGCCCCCGGCTTATTTATCAGTGGCAGAAAACTTTCAGACTCAGATTTTCTTTTGCAATGACGACTTCCAGCCCGAGGACCCTCCCTCCCGCCACCCCCACTGAGGGCACCCAGTGCAAACAGTTTCCTTTGGCTCCAGAGGGTTTTGCCTCCTGTGTTGACTTTCGCCTCCCGAAAAGCCAGCAGGAGCGAGCCCGGCGCCTCCTCACAGCGGCAGCCTGGCGACGCCCTGCCAGCCCCGCGTCTCCGCCCGAGCAGCGTCGCCCAGCGGGCAGCGGCTGCGGGTGCCCTCGCGGGCCTCCTGCACCCCCCCCACGCCCGCGATTCCCCGGCTCCCGCGAGCTGCCCCCTCCGCGGGCGGTCCTGGAGCGCGGCGGCGGCGGCGGGAGGCGGGGCCTCGAGCGAGCGCGCGCCGCCATTGGGCGGCGGGGCGGCGGAGGCGGGGCGCGGCGCGGCGATTGGCCGGGCCGCGGGCCGGAGGGGGCGGGGCCGCTATATAAGCGGGGCGCCCGGCGCGGCGCCGGCAGTCGGGCTGCTGCGAGCCGCGCGCCGCGGGACCGGTACCGGGGAGCGGGCGGCGGGCGGCGGGCGCGCGGGCGGCGAGGGGGCGGCGGGCGCGCGGGGCCGGCTCTGCGGCGCGGCGGGCTCCGGGGCGGCCTGTCCGAGGCGGGGCCGGGCGGCGCGGGGGCGAGGCGGCGGCGCGCCCAGCCATGCTGTGCTATGTGACGCGGCCGGACGCGGTGCTCATGGAGGTGGAGGTGGAGACCAAAGCCAACGGCGAGGACTGCCTCACCCAGGTGAGCCGGGGCCCGCGGGCGCGCAGGTGGGGCCTCCCGGGGCGCGGGGCGCGGCGCCTGCCGGGGGCCCGCGGCGCTGCGGCGGCCCCCCCGGGGAGCGCGCCCTGGGCGCACGGCCCGCACCCCCTCCTGGGCGCGGGCGCGGGGCGCCCTCCGGCCCCCTGCGGGCCCGCGGGGCGCGCTCGGGTTGGGGGGCCCGCGGAGGCCCTGCCAGCCCGCGCCCCAGCCCCGCACTTTGCAGAACGAGGCGGCCCCGCACACCTGCTGCAGGTGTTTGCTGATGCCGCCTGGGGCGTCCCCGCGGGGCTTGGCAGCGCCACCGCGTCCCGGGGTGAGGTGGCTGGAGACAGGCCAAGTCCTCGGGTTGCTTGGCAGGCACCTCGAGCCCTTGTGTCTTGCTGCATCTCCAATGGGCTGTTCACCTGCCTCTCCGGGTTGGCTTGGCACGGGAGAGGACAGCAGGTGTGGGGCATCCACTGCCCGGTGAGCTGTAAGCGAGCGTGGCCTTAAGCGTGGACAGCAGTGCGCATTGGCACGGCAGAGAGCGAATTAGATCTCCAGTGAGATCCCTGTGCCTTCCACCACCACCCCAGACCCCGAGATGATGTGGAAAAAAACCCCAGACCCGAGATGTGTGGAAAAAAAACCTTGCAAAGCGGAGCTGACACTTGTGGCGTGTTTAGTTTGGTTTTTCATTTATTTATTTTTGGGGGAATCCAGATGGTTCACATTGTCCAGATAATGTGCTGCCAAGTCAGCTGTGCAGATTGGAGGGTGCAGGGAATTCCGGTGATTGGAGTAAGAAGGAAGAAAATACCTGTAGATTCCCCGCCTGGTTCTTCTGGAAGGTGCTTTTGAGGACTCACCTTTTTCTCTTCTGCAATTGGCATGTCCCAGATATTAAAGGAAGGATCATCCTTTCTGTTACACCTAATGGTATAGTATCCCTGGAGCCTGAGAACTTTGTTCTAACAATTTACAGCAGAAATGTTGAGGCCCTTAGACTTTCTGGAAGGGGACCAGGGGATCTGGGTTCACGTGGACTGTGCAGGCCACTTGTTCACCCATGCTGCGTTCGTTTTTGTTTTAGGTGTGCAGGCGGTTGGGAATCATAGAAGTGGATTATTTTGGACTGCAGTTCACTGGTAGCAAAGGTGAAAGCTTATGGCTCAATCTGAGGAACCGCATCTCCCAGCAGATGGATGGGCTACCCCCTTACCGGCTTAAACTGAGAGTCAAGTTCTTCGTGGAACCTCATCTCATCTTACAGGAGCAGACCAGGTAAAGTGATGCTCAAGTAAACCAATGTCAGGTAGACTCTAGAGCCCATTTAGAAAGGGCCTTTGCACCTTCTAGGCAAATTCGCTTTGATGGAGAGTGAGTTCATAATTAGTTTTCCATAGCACAGTCCTTTGTTGTTGGAACGGGGAGCTACAGAGTTGGCATGGGGTGTATTTTCCAACTCTCCTTGGGGATGGCCTTGTCTTTGTAAACAATCTGAAAACGGGGTTGAATCCTTACAAAATTGGAGATGAGTACCACAACACACACAAAAAGGGGGAAAAAACCCAACTGACTTCCTGATAGCAGCATCTAATGCCCGATAGTAACCTCTGTCTGAGCAATGCTACTATAGGTCATTGTGGACTGTTCTAACAGAAAGCAGGAAACAGTTCCTCTTGGGTTACTTAAACTTGGTCAACTTCTTCAGGCTAGTGTCAGATTACAGTGTGCAGCACAGAGCTCCGTGGAAGGTAAGGCAGAATTCTAGAAGTTTTTAAGTTTCTTGAAAACTCAGTGAGAGAATGCTTTTGAGGCCAGTGTAACCAGACTCCACCCACAGACTTATTACCTATGATTGTTGAGTTTAGATGGCTGCATTTATCTCTTTATTTATAAAAAAAAAAAAACACCAAGAGTGGTAGACAGCTGAAGCTTGTGGTTTCCTTTTTCAAATGGAAACTATTTTCTTCCCTGGACTCATGTTTTTCTCAAGGATGAGCCAAACTAGAAAACCAGTATTTAATATTGATGGCTGAGATGCAAGAGACCTAAATTTTAGGGTGGCATATAAAAAAAGAAAAGAAAAATGAGTACTTTTAACACAGCAAACTTTAAATCTAAGTCCTAATGTTTTTCATAATCCTTTCGCTTGGAAATTTGCCATGTTTGTGGAAAATGTGAGTGAAAATTTTGCATAATGGTGAGTGAACAGTATCTTTTAAGAATTTTAACATGTCTTTTTTTGCTTACCAAAGGATTGATAGAAACATGTTCTGAAGTACGATTTATTTGAATTTGAAATGTCTGCTTTGGCTTTGCCTTGTTTGAGAGCTTTAAGGGTAAAGGAAATGTTCAGTTTTGCTTCTGAGGGCAGTTAGCATATTGAACCCTTAATGCTCCTGAACATGTGAAATATTCAAATGATTGCATGTTTAAGAATGTTTAGGTCATCATTTTTAATCAGAATAGGTTGGTTTTTGTTTTGTTTTGTTTTGTTTTTTTCCCTTAAAGCTGGTTAGTGGAAGCTTGCTTCCACTTCATGTTTCATGTGATAACTTGAAATTGAGTAAGAGGCAAAATATAACACAACATATTGGAATTTGCATTGTATAGTCTTATCATGATTTTGCAATCATCTCAAGCCTCTGGATGCAAACCTAGTTTTTTTGTGATACAGATGTAATTTTTAAATCTGCAAAAGCGTAGAGGACTGAGTAAATAATTTAAGCAATGACTGCAGCCACAATAGTGTGAAGCATTTATATTATGAATGCATACAGACTTTAAAATTTACTACTAGATGGTCTTTACCAGTGCTTTCTGGTAATTGAGTTAATAACTATTATCTAATCTATTTTATTCATACGAGAAATAGAGACATTTTATGAATTAGAACTGGAATCAAATTTCCTACTTTATTGACTCAATTGACTTTGACTCTTGAGATTCATGCTTAATAGCACTTGAAGACTGCACACACCTAGTTAACTAGGTAATTGTAATTGATTTTAATTCCTTTTTGAAATCTTATTGAAGAATTCATGTGAGCTAAACTTTTGACTTGCTTTTAAAATACTGGTGAATTTTTCTTGTCTTGTGGGGTTGTCTGAAAAACAGAATTTTAAGGAACTGTCACCTAAAGTTTATACAGCATCCTGTTTTAATAGCTAGATAAAGTAGTTTATAATTAGCATTTGCACCTTTTAATTAGGATTGGAAGTTGTAATTGGTCCAGCTTAGTTACAATTAGCATTGTTTTTCAATGGTACTTATCGAACAAAGATAATTGTTTTTCTTAATGGTATGTTTGCGAGATAAAGCAGGCTTGACAGACTTTTTAATGTTTATTTGTCATAGAAAAAAGCTGTGAAGATGAAATAGACCTGTTCATGTAGTGAGTAAACTCAGCTTTGCCTGTTCAGTTATAACAGGCAAACTGTCTCTCAGTCACTGTCTCTCAGTCACGAGGGAACATTTAGTATATATCAAAGTGTCTAGACAGTTTATTAAATGATGCTGCGATGTCTTGGCCAAGTTGTCCTCTGGATAATCCGAGTAGCAGGCTCACAGTAGAGCTGACCTAACTGGAATGGGAGCAGCTCAAGTATTCCTTTGCATCTGATTAGATGTGAGAATGAGGGGCTGGAAGGCAGGCCTGCTTGTAATAGGAGAGTTTGAGGGGGCTGCCAAGGCCCTGCCTTCTAGGTCGGAGTGAGCCACCTACTATCAGCGTGCACAGACTTCCAAGACTAAGCCCAGCTCCTTATCACTGTTAAAAGACAAGAAATTATTTCTCAACTCTCTTCTAGCTATAGACTTTTTGCCTTTGCTTTTGCTTTCTGTCTGCAGTATTTTCCATGTTTCCCTAAATACATTCCTCTGAAGACAGAAAGTATATCAGATGTCTGCTTACTTTAGTAGATAGAGTTAATCTGGTTTCTGATTAGGCCTAATTGCAGATTTGGTTCTTTACCCACATTATTATGTTTTCTCTGGAATGAGAGTCCTGACAATAATGGGAGAGTCTTGTTTAGGCTGGCTGAGTCTAGAGATGGAGACAGCAGGTACTTCCAACAGATGTTTGCCATGCTATGATTAAAAGTAAAAGTGAAACTAATGTATTCTGGACATACATCTGAAATAATAATGATCTTTGAAAGTGTTGCCTTTCAAAGGACTCTCAGTTATTCACAGCAATTTAGGTGAGATTTTGTTAACATTATCAAAACCAGAGATTGGAGACGTATATGCTGAATCTACAGAGATGATTTTTTTTTTAAGAAATTATTATTATTTTTTTTAAGATTTATTTATTGATTGATTGATTGATTGATACATACATACATACATACAAGCACTGGGTGCAGTCATAAGTGCGGGAGGGTGAGAGAATTCACCAGAGCCAGAGCGGGGAGCAGAACAGGCAGAAGGACCGAGGTACATTGCTGAGGGGAGCAGCGGGCGGCAGGAGAGGTCTGCGCGCCATGTGGGACCCTCCTCCGGTGGCCGGGGAGCAGCCGGGGATCGAACCGGTGCAGCAGAGGCTGCGGGCAGCTTCGCAACCCAGCGCTCAACCGCTGCGCCACCGAGGAGGCCCCAGAGATGATATTTACACCATCCACTGCCAATAAAATCTTTCTTTTTCTCCTGACCTTGCCATATTTTCCCAGAGCTGTGTGGTCTTTGCTGGGGTAACTCTGCTTAGTTGAGACTCACCAACACCTGAATTCTATTTCCTAGCAGGACTCATGAGCCTGAACTAACTATTCAAGGAAAGTGTTGTTGTGATCTTGAATGCTAGACCTCAACAAGATTTCGGAGATGTGAGGAGTTTGGTCCCCAGTTAAATCACCCTCTTCTTTAGACCTCAGCCAGTCATCACTCCTGGTGAAAGCTTTCTCTAGGCCTGCTGGGGAAACTGAAGTCTCCCAAGGTGTCCTGAAGGTTTTCTTTACATCATTAATGAGCGATTAACACTACATTTACTTGTGTGACAATTTGTTTATTGTCAGTCATTCTGGTAATCTCAAATCCTTTAAGCAGGGAGCTGATCAACATGTATTCCCAGAGTCAAGCAAATGTCTGGTGCATAAATGTATTGAATCAACAATTAAGAACTGGGAAATAAATTAAAATGGAGCTCACTGATACTGAAGATGTAAATTTTCTTACAGACATTAATTTCCAGTTTGCTTCTAAACCCTGGAAAGTTGAGACTATCAAAGAGAAATCTCACCATTAAAAAATGTTTCGTAGCAATCATTCTTTGTTAAGAATTTGCTCAGCGCTTGGCATTCTTTTGCTTCCTTTCTTTCCTTCATCTTCTCCACCCCATTTGTTTATTGCAGCTGTTCTTATCTCAAATGAACTTCTGTTTGCCTGGATCTTTTTTAAAGTTCAGATAATCTTCAAGCTACAGTAGCACTTTATCTAATTTCAACCAATTTGTAAGTCCTAAATACTTATTAAACTCAGTTTTCCCGTCTTCCAACAAAAATCACTTAGGATATAGAAACATAGAGAAGAGGCATTATTGAAACACAGAGCAAATGCCCTGTGCAGATTATAGGAAGATAAAATGTGATAATCTCAACCAACTCTGAGCTGATTCACATTGGCCTTAATCAGTAATGCCTGTAGTCATGTTCCAAGTCTTTAAAAACAGCATCATTTACCTTTGTGTGGTTTAGGCAGGGTAGGTTAAGTACAATGCTGTTGCAAAAGTGTTTATTATAGAGATGTCATTTATGTTCTTCCTATCAGCTGCATTCCTCAGAGTGGAATGACACTTTTTTGCATGCCCAGACACAAAATAGACCCCAGGACAGTTTAAAAAGATTGATACAAACATAAATATGAGTCACCAAAACAGTACTAAATTTTTGAATTCTAATTTAGATTCTTTTCTTTTTTTAAAGATTATTTATACAAGAACTAGGGTACAGGCCAGAGGTGCGAGAGGGTGAGAGAATTCACCAGAGACAGAGTGGGGAGCAGAACAGGCAGATCTACTGAAATACACTGCTGAGGGGAGCAGCGGGCGAGACAGGAGAGGTCTGCTGTGCCATGTGGGTTGCTCCCTGGCCGGCCGGGAATTGAACCTGCGCTGCAGAGGCTGCGGACAGCCTCATAGCGCTGTGCTCAACCCACTACGCCACCAGGGAGGCATCTAATTTAGATTCTATTTTGCTTATTTGCTAAAAATATAGGGTGCTTGTGCTATTACATGTTTATTTTAGCCACAGACCTCCCACCTGGATATCTTCAGTCTCTTTTTG